TTTTTCCTAGGTAATGCGACTTCAAGTTACTATAAAGAACTGGTTTTGTGCTGCTAGATGACCGGGACAGAAATTGAATAATTTGTGCACATCTGCGCATCTGTAGCCAGAATGCAAGAGATTGTTGCAAACATAACGCATTTCCATTGTCACTCCACACAACCATATAGCGCCACAAAAGTCAAATATCAAACATAATAGGAAAAGACCCAACTCATTAACCATTAAACATGTGATATTCATATCTGATGTCCCAATAGCTGTATGTAGATGTGCTAGGTATGCTGATAGCCGTGGAATATTTGACCAAATACCACGAATATGACATCACTATTTACTGCTGCAATTGCGTTGGTAATCGGTTTATAAAAGCAATAAGTAATACCAGGGTTGTGGTATGTCAGCTATATACTTCCTCTCTTATTGCGTGTGTATACCACTGCAATCTGTAAATCTGCTTTTAGGTTTCAAACCACTCTGTTTATACATGAGAACATACCCTATGACAAAATCGAATGTTTTCTATCATATCTGTGACTGTTTTATAATACCAGTAGTGCCCTTCAGGTGTTTACGGTATGGTGATATGCAGGCACACCCACGTCATTAAATCTGGTGTATTGTCCACATACCACACCCTGCAGGCCTTAATGCTTATTGATACTACACAAGTTCAGTTGCGTTCAGCAAAATAACCATTTTTGTCTCAGCAGACAATAATTATAATAATTATAAACAAAGAATATGTAAACTGTCATTTGCCCCCAAAAATATTGTCTTTGAAAATACAGTTCATGCCATACCCCAAATATTAAGGTACATTTTAGACACAGTGAAACAATGTTTTTAATTCAAGTGTTTACAGTTTACTGCACTACATTGACTATTCTACATATTATTCTGTATTAACAGTTGTATTTTCTTTTGTGGATCACACCACTGGATATTTTCAATAGCGTAGCCCCCTCTGCAGAGTTATCTTAACTGTACCCAATCCCAGTCTGTGTGGCTGATAAGTGGTGAATGTTCACTTACATTGTGCAGATGAAGTTGCTAAGCAATAGTGGTTGACAGACACCAAATGTGAAGAGGGGATTACATTTTTTCTTTTAGAGAGGGTTAGCTTTGGCACACTTTGCTCATCGCTTTCAGAATTAGAACCCGCCCCTCGCAGGAGCTCTATAGGCCGGTCTCCTGTCCTTAAAGGAAGCTGCATGAGTATTCCTTATTGAAATTCAGCAATCAATATACATCATATGTCTCTAGCAAGGCAAGAGACTGCAGAGACTTTAGACAATCTGCATAAATGACAGCATTTTCTCTCCTCTCTCATCCACATGCCATCCTGCCATCTACCATACAAGTATACTTTCTGACAAGCATTTCAACAACATCAAGACTAAATATGTTACTGCGTGACCCTTACGTTAACCCAAACCTTAACCTTCATCAAAAATCTATAAAATATTAGTTTGCTCATAACCCCAGTTATTTTTCCCTGACTCACTGCTGGATGCTGTGCCACGGGTGTAGGCATAGTTTCCATCCAGGATATGTGACGTAACCATCATGGTGCGTTCGTAACCATGTGTGAATATACAACTAGGACCTCCACTGTGATTTCTGACCATTCTGTCTTGATGTAGGCCTATGTCTCACACCCAAGCTAAGAATGCTGTTAAACTATTTAATGCATCTGTTCAGATAAACAGTCAAATAAATTGAATAAATAATAATAATTTGTTTGTTATTTTTTTCATTTTATTTTTTACAAAAATGTCTGGTCCAGTCTGGTTTTACTCTCACTCCGTTAACCCAAAGTTTGCCCGAATGAATTAATTACTAGTTAAATAACTTGTTTAATAGCCTCTTTTGAGGAAGTCAATAATAATGACATTGCCATTATTATTCATAAATTAGGCTATATATTTTTGTCATTGCTACAACAGATGTTTTTCAACTAAATAGTTTTTTAAACATATGAATCATCAAAAGTTCCCGTAGTTGCAAAATCCGAACATTTTATAATTTCTCAATTACTGAATGTATTTTTGTTGTCGCAGCTTGTTGACATGAGAATATTTCATTGACTTTGGTTGAAAGAGCGTCAAACTCTGGTAAAATCCGACTTCCTATTCAGTTATGAATGCAGCAATAGCATCTGTTGAGCTCCACAGCAGATAAAAGCTCCAGACTCAACACACGGTCCTTTCAGCTTCTGACTCCGGTCCCTTTAGCTCCTGACTCAACACACGGTCCCTGCTGGGTGCTACCGGGTCCAGCTCGTCTAAACGCCCATATTGTCACTATCTCCGCCGCAAACAGACGCACCACACAGACGACAGGATGCGGGAAATCGTTCACCTTCAAGCCGGACAGTGTGGCAACCAGATCGGAGCCAAGGTCCTGTATAAACAACAAATATTTGAACAACTTAACAGTTTGATAGTGTTTATTAATAATATATCATTTTGTCTTACATTTTAAAGTATTGCCATACATTTTTTTGTAATTAACGCGACCATCACATTTCATGCCGACTTGAAGTTATGTCGTAGTGTTTTTTTTTGCTTGACCAACCGCCTGGTGTGTCGCAGTCCGATGCAAAAAACATGCAAGTAAACCGAATGTGTACGAAGAAAGTTATTAAAAACGCGACACAATAGAGGAGCACCACGCCCTGGAGCGCACTGCAGGGGGTTAGACAATGGGGCACCCTGTACGGGACCAGTTAATCAAAGTTGTATTCCGGAATGACTGGACAAAATTTACCAGACAATCGTACTGGCTAGTTGTATTGGTTGCTGTAACATTTCTTTCTATGGTCTATAGAAGATAATATATTTTCTAAATTGTTGTTGACTGTTCTAACCCTTTTTATGATTCTTTGAAGGCTAAATGGATTAAATGCCATATTGTTGAAACAAAACTATGTTTTGTAAACCGTTTATGCGGTTTTCATATTAGACCACACACTCTGTGAATATTTATTTATTGTATACTCTTTGCCTGCCTCTGTGTTTGCCTGCCTCTGTGTTTGCCTGCCTCTGTGTTTGCCTGCCATTGCTGCCAACTATTTTGTTACAACATGTTTCTGTTAGTCCTTGGTACATGCTGGAGGCGTAACGACATGGTCTTGTGGGACAATTAACTAAAGATAATTTAATATGAAAATGTATAAAAAGTTGACATCAATATTTTTTATCCAGTCAGATTTGCCTATTATCTATGCATTTTCCTGTTTCTGGCCTATTGGTTTTTGGGACCAATCATGATCATTGTTTCTTTACATCCTGCAAATCATCCTGGGGGTACTCAGACCAAGACTAACTGCGCAGGAAGAAATGAATGTCAGTGGGTGTGGTGTAGCATCAGATCTGGTTTGAGAGTTTTTGTTGCCAGGGGATGCACTAACACCAGTCTAGACATTTTCACATTTAGATGCTGTTCTGGTTTGGGTGATCTAAAAAGAAATATGCTAACTGTTCGTCCTTTTATTGTCTTAATCTGGGCCAAAAGATTTAAATCATTTGAGGATACCCTAGAATAGTTTACGGATCTCTGACCTGCAGCTTTAATCTGCAGGAGATAATTATTGTTTTGTTCAGCATAGATCTGTAGTTGCCTATAAGGTCATAGTAAACGCCATATGGCTGCTAAGGATATCATCCCATCTGCCTGATGAAGGCTTGTATTATTCATACGATTAAAGGCAGATTTTTCTGAGCCTTAGGGCTCTCTGTAGTGATTTATGACCGCTGTGGAACCCTTTACAGTCATCTCAATCCTTGTCATCATTATCCAGACAAGCATCAAAACTACAAAACCAGATTAACCATACTTGTTTGAGCACAACTGAATCATGCCTGTATATTACCACTGATGTACCAGGGAATTTGTACCTACCTTCCTTAACAGCAATTCTCTGGGGGATTCTGGTTACTTATCATCTTTGTTGGTTTGGACTGCCCTTTATCTGATAATACTCCGGTTTCTCCCAACAAAGAAAAAGCCAGAGGTGTGGGAGGAGAACTGGTTGGGAGCTGGGACCTTTGTCATCTGGCATACTCCAATAATGACCTCATGCTGAACGCATGCTGCTACAGTGAGGTGTCAGCCTGTATATTAGCAGCGCATGTCTACTGCATGGATTTAACAGCCCATATCACACACTCACACACTCACACACTCACACACTCACACACTCACACACTCACACACCATTTAAGTCGTCTAAGATGGTGATGATGTGTCTCCACTGCTACTGCAGTATGGATGATGCCTGATGACAAGGCCACATTAAGTGAGCTCATTAGTAACACAAATTCATTATATTATACCTTTATCTTGCTGTTTTAGTCATTTAGTTAAATAATTATCTGGTCTGTTTTGACCAGGATAGATCATGATGAATAATTAAGGAGCATGATCTGTAGGAGGTGATCAGGGGTTTACAGTGCCAGGGAGAAGGGGGACAACACTGTTCATAGCTCAGAGCTATAATCATCTTCAGGACACTGAGTGTGGTGCCTCGATCACAGCGGTCTAGAAAGACTGGTGGAAGGATGGTTGTTTTCACTGACAAATGGGAGTAATGGTTGAGAGATACCAGTATGGGATTAACACAGTGAGTATTACTCCATCTGGATGTTGAGATCCCAGTATGGGATTAGAGCAGTGAGTAATACTACTGCATCTGAATGTTGAGAGATACTAGTATGGGATTAACACAGTGAGTAATACTCCATCTGGATGTTGAGAGATACTAGTATGGGATTAACACGGTGAGTAATACTCCATCTGGATGTTGAGATGCCAGTATGGGATTAACACAGTGAGTAATACTACTCCACCTGGATGTTGAGATGCCAGTATGGGATAACACAGTGAGTAATACTCCATCTGGATGTTGAATGATACCAGTGTGGGATTAACACAGTGAGTATTACTCCAACTAAATGTTGATTGACAACAGTATGGGATTAGTTTGGGGATTGGAACAGTTGCTAGCTCAGTGGTAGAGTCCATGCTTTGTGTGTATGACGTCCTCGGTTCAAATCCCACCTGGTCGCTGTCGCAAATGAGTAATTGTTCTCAATCGGCCTACCTGGTTAAATAAAGGCTAAATAAAAATTTGAAAATAAAAAGCGCAGTGACATCAGTTCTTCTGAGTGACCATTTCTATCGTGTGACATGTTTCTGTAGCAGGCTACAAACACTAATATTATGTTTGGATGTTTGCTTACAGGCAGTCTGTACTGTGCGGATAAGGTCCTCTTTAATAGGAAACATATCTGCAGTGTAGGATGGATGGCATGTAATCTATGACCTGATACGTCCACTTGACATCCTGCTTTCAGTAGGTCCCGTGGTTGCCCTTAGTGATGATTATGTACAACATCCTGCTTCTATTTTAGACTTTCCATTCTCTTTGGGTCTACCTCTCTCTCTTTTGTCTGTTTCTGTTATACCAGAGGTCTTTTTAAACTGGTGTCTGTGGAAAACTGCCATGAGATTATTTTTTAAATATTTGTTTTATAACAAGCACGTCTGTAGAGTTGGGAGACATACATCCTATCCAGACCACACTCGCAGATTTAAAGCACTTTGCAGTTATTATAAGTGTCATCATTGAATGTTTGCTTCGACTCTAGTACAAAAGGAATCCTGTTTTATTATAAACATGAGATGATTAATGGCCATCTGAAGTGAATGCCGAGCCACGGATAAAGCGCAATACTGGACAAAAGCCTGAGAAATTGACCTGCCTCTACAACCTATAATGGTTGCCAAACCATGCATGAACCCATCTGCATTACTCAGACATATTTTAGTAATATGTGGAAATATGCTATTTTTGCCTACTGTTTGTAAATTGTTTGACCATTTCAGCCCAAAGCAAAAATGTACAGTTTAGTGTCCTCTGTGAGAGGGCCTCTAACTCCTGTTTTCCCCATACCACAAAAAAGGGTAAAGTGCTAGTGACCATCTGACTACAGTATGTGGGTTAATGGATCAATGGAGCTTAACACAAACACTGTGCTTGATTTGACCTGTGTTTTTGCTCATTTGTGTTTCCGTTTACTTTGCAGTTCTGGGAGGTGATCAGTGATGAACATGGAATCAGCCCCACCGGAAACTATGAGGGCGACTCCCCGTTGCAGCTGGAGAGGATTAGTGTATACTACAATGAGGCCTCATGTGAGTCTGATTTTGTAACTTACTATAAACCGAACTACACAACACTGTAATACTTGCAATGAGCTCATCCAATTCATCACTCTTTGGCTTCTATGTAAACCTCTTGGGTTTCGTAGATGAAATTGACCCATCATAATTCATTCATAGTTTATATTAAGGATTGTCATTAACTACAGCCTCCTGTGTCTCTCTCCAGCCTCTAAGTATGTTCCCAGAGCCATCCTTGTAGACCTGGAGCCTGGTACTATGGACAGTGTTCGCTCTGGACCATATGGACAACTCTTCAGACCTGACAACTTTATCTTCGGTCAGTGTCTATTTGACATCTAGAAAACATACTTTTACATTAAATGCATATTAGCTATTATATTCAGTAAATGTAATAATGCATTATGAAGATGTGAGGATTGTATAATATGCACAGCTAAAGTGCTACCATAATGTGTCTGATGTTACCTTGTAGGTCAAAGTGGAGCGGGTAACAACTGGGCTAAAGGACACTACACAGAGGGGGCGGAGCTTGTGGACTCAGTGCTGGACGTAGTCAGGAAGGAGTGTGAGAACTGTGACTGCCTACAGGGCTTCCAGCTGACCCATTCCTTGGGAGGGGGAACCGGTTCTGGCATGGGAACCCTGCTCATCAGTAAGATCCGAGAGGAGTACCCTGACCGCATCATGAACACCTTCAGCGTGGTTCCGTCTCCTAAAGTGTCTGACACTGTGGTGGAGCCCTACAACGCCACCCTGTCCATCCATCAGCTGCTGGAGAACACAGATGAGACCTACTGCATAGACAACGAGGCCCTTTACGACATCTGCTTTCGCACGCTAAAGCTCCCCACGCCCACCTACGGAGACCTTAACCACCTGGTGTCAGCCACCATGAGCGGGGTGACTACCTCGTTCCGCTTCCCGGGCCAGCTAAACGCCGACCTCCGCAAACTGGCTGTCAACATGGTGCCCTTCCCCCGTCTGCACTTCTTCATGCCCGGCTTCGCCCCACTCACGGCTCGTGGCAGTGCATGCTACAACGCGCTCTCTGTGCCTGAGCTCACCCAGCAGTTGTTTGACGCCAAGAACATGATGGCGGCGTGTGACCCGCGCCACGGTCGCTACCTCACCGTCGCCATGGTGTTTCGCGGTCAGATGTCCATGAAGGAAGTCGACGAGCAGATGCTGGCTATTCAGAGTAAAAACAGCAGCTACTTCGTCGAATGGATTCCCAACAATGTCAAAGTGGCCGTTTGTAACATACCCCCACGTGGTCTTAAGATGTCTGCCACCTTCATTGGGAACAACACGGCCATCCAGGAGCTGTTCAAGCGGATCTCCGAGCAGTTCACCGCCATGTTCCGGCGTAAGGCCTTCCTCCATTGGTACACCGGAGAGGGCATGGACGAGATGGAGTTCACAGAGGCCGAGAGCAACATGAACGACCTGGTGTCTGAGTACCAGCAGTACCAGGACGCCACCACAGAGGAAGAGGGAGAGATGTATGAAGATGATGAGGAAGAGTCAGAGAGCCAGGCCAGGTGAACACCCTGGTTATGAGCCAAGCTTATTAAGACCCAGCTGACCGAGCGCTGTCTGTAGCAGGCTAAAGGAGGGTGATTATCTTCCTTGCATACACTGTACTGTATAGCTTTACTTCCTTTCCTGTAGTATGTCCCCCCCTCCACACACCCATGCTCTGACCATGTCTGTGCTAACTGTTAGCCTGCTGTTGATTTATCCTGCTGGAATTACTTCTGGTACATCTCAAACAGACAGGCATAAACTGACTAGTTGTCCTTAATGTCTTATATTAAACTTGTTTGTGCCTACTTGGACTTGTTTCAGGCTTCAGACATTGTTGGGGCTTATTACATGTGAATAAAATTACTGCCTTTAAGGGACGTGATCATGTTTCGCTACACTGTTTTCATACACTCCCTTCACAATAACAGTTTGTCGCTAGTCTTTCAGTGTTTAGTACTTAGATCAGAATGAGAATAAGGTTTATTCGCCAAGTCTGTTTACACACAATGAATGTATTCTGACCCCTAGCTGCAGCATTTCGAACACGCATTTTAAAATGTATACCAGTGCGAAACACATAAAACAAACAGTCCAATGAGAGACCATGCCTAGTTGGCATATGTAATGGGTAAATATAGAATGTGTTAGATTGTAGCTGAATAGTGCAAAGGAGCAATGACTAGATGTGTGAACAGATTGCAAAAGAGCAATGATCAGGTTCTAGTTTCAAACTGTGCAAAAGAGCATGGCCCTAGTGGTTAGGAAATCTTGACTAATGTCATGTCACGCTGTCCTACAAACAAGACAGAAGTTAATGTAATACCATTTTAGAGCCTTGACAGACATGTAAGCGCAAGTGTAATGTGAAAACCGCATATACGTATATATTAAATGAAAAAAATCCCAAAACTATTGTTATTAAACAAAGACAAATGACCTAATAAATAAGGCTGCTCCTTGACTAAGTCTTAAGTTGTTTTTTTTTCCTCTGCTATGTATAGGGCCAGTTTGCTAAGTGAATCACATGATGTTATAGCCTGTAGCGAGGGGCCCTGAATAAGACCGATCAAAATAACCTTGTAATTGCTTCTTTATTCTCCAAGATGCATCTCCACATAATCACGCAATAGGCCAGCCACCTTAAGTTTTCTCGTACATTACACCACTAAAGACATTCCAGACTATATTTTCTGGTACGCGCCTTAAATTTTAGTGAACGGTTTCTTTTTCTTAGTAACCCACACTACACAAAGAAATCAACACCTACAGTTTATTTGTGTAAAGAACTCATTGTCCCACAGGGCGGTCAATAGAAATTACATTATGTGGAAACATTGATACTAAAACTCGGTGACTGAGAACCCATGTATTCTATAATGGCCCCACTTCCTGTGATGAGACTGCCGTATCATTTTGAGCAGGGAATGCCATTAAAAATAATTATGAAAGGCCTCTGGTCTACCGGTAGCAGACAGTATATGGGGCTTACTGTACCAGTGTCTCACTAGCAGATGTAGAGGTATGCTACATCGCAAAGCAGACCTTCAGACTAATATCTACTGAATCGTCATACACAGAATATAAGGATGGTAAGTAAACTGAAGGACCACTAGTCCTAGAGAGTTAATTCTAGTTCATTCAGTTTAACAGTTGAAATAAAATGCTTCAAGCAACACTAAAAATCATATTGTGACAAATTAGGGCTATAATTCTTCCTCAGGAAAGGATTTGGATAGAGGAGCACACAAAGAAGCCATTCCCATCTAGCCTACTTATTGCACACTTATGCAACCATGGTATTGTAAGTTTTTTTTTTTATTCTTCCCGCTCAAAGATTTAAGTTTGTTTTTCAATTGAATTGATCACATTATAGGTCACAAAGGTGGAAAAGGTTCTGACATGATTTAACTTTGTCTAATTTTTTAGGGTTGTGTAGATTTTTCATATCCACTGTACATACCTTTCTGGCTTTGAATGCTAAGAGTTGATGATACCCTTTTAAATATATCTAAAGCAATATAAACCAAATGCTACTTTAATTAGTGAGGCATTAATGGTCAAGACAGTGCTAGTGATTCAAAAAGCAAAATGCCCTGCATTCCATATTAAAGGGATGTGTTATCATGAGTCTTCAATGGTAAATTAGGCAGCTGACCTATACATTTTTACACTTTTAGTGTAGTAATGAACACAGAACTAAATATAAATTTGAGTAAAACACATATTCAATTTCTGAAATGTTGTATTTTTCAAGTGAAGAATCAATAATATAGAAAACACCAGTCATGGTTGTGATTGCATAAACCAATCACTAGATGGCGGTACGGAGCAGTATTATTCCCTTGTCGTAGACGTG